TTGAGTTGATCGCCACCCTGTGACTGGGCGATCACCATCATCAACCATGATATTTGCCGGGTTAATGTCATTGTGAACAAGCCCCAGCGAGTGTAAATGACGAATACCCAGTTCAATTTCCCGTAAACAGGCATCTCTATCGAAAGCTTTTGTGTCTTGTAGTCTCTCATCAAGCGTCATCTTGTATCTCTTAAGGCAGATTCCTCGAATGCGGCCGTTGGTAACAACGCAGCCTATATAGGCGGCTATATTAGGATGAGGGTTTGCTTTTAGAATTTCACAGACCAAAACTTCATTTAATATTTCGTTGCTGCTTTGTAGTGTAGCCGGTGAATCGCCGTAACTCAATAGATTTGGTTCCTTGATATAGTACTTTGATGAAGAGAGCTCCATTGCCTGCGAGAAGTGGTCTGAAAAAAGTGGCCAAATATTTTCGAGAGGGATTGGGACCATTTCAAGTTGATTTATATCCACCGGAGAGAATGTGCCAATGCGATCTTTTGTAGTAGCGTAAAAATATTGGTGATTTTGTCCCTTGATAATGAGTTTGGTAAATGCGAATTCCAGATCGCCATCTTTTTCAATAAAGGCTTGGCCTCGCTGGTAGATTTCCATGTCGACTTGGGGGAGAGCAAAATGGACTGCTGGATTAGGCACGCACGTTGACAGTTGAACTTGGACTGCACGCCATGAAGAAAATAGTCGCAAGGAAGAGAGTAACCGGCACGGGGGAATTTTATTCCGCCCTTGCGCTTTACGGTCAGTGCTCGTTGCAATTGCACCAGAAAGTCAACATTGAAGTGCAATTGCACCTGGCTCAAGCACGTGCATTCAATGCCTCGCGTTGGGCCGGAATGATGTGGTATCAATTGATGTATTGATGTAACATTGCTTGAAGGAGCTTCTGAATGAGTTATTGTATTATTCCTCACTGAGGCGCCGTGTACCCTTTAAATCGTGCGCGAGCCAGAAATATCGTGCACAATACACATTCCTTGTTTTGCTTAGGGTTAGGGTTGGGGATAAGAAAGCGGTATTGGGAGTACGAGATATAACTCGAGATATTCGACGATACAGAGGTATCTTCGACCATCTCTGCAAAAGATGTACCCCATTCCTTCCAGAAATTCGGCGTGTCTACCATGAGAACGCGGAAACCGTCCAAGTAGCCAGCTCATTAGCCCAGAGGACACTCTCTAATGATGTTCTCAACGACCTGAAACCTATCCTTGAAAAGCCGACGTGAGTACTCTTGTAGAAAACAGTTTATTAGGCAACTATTGACGCCGTTCAGCGGAGTTCGTCTCTTGTCGAACCATATCTCGAGACTATATCTCGAGCACAGGCCGTCCTTTTTTTAGGCTCGGTTCGGAAAAGAGAACTTGTACGCTCTCACCACGATCAAAGATCCACATCCGAAAATAATTGTATTTGTATTGATGTCTGGAGCTCAACTCGAATTCTCGCATGAGTCACACATAGGTACAGTGTCACACCGAAATTGCCTGTTGCACGAGGGCTACGATCACGGGACCTAGGGCACAGCCCCTCACCGACTTCTTGCATTTATAGAGGCCTTTGGTCCCTCAAGGCCTTGAGGAGAACCAAGGATCTTTTATACCAAAGACTGTTATAAGATGAATTGAGCTATTTACTTTAAGCCCTCTTGAGTCCTTGTCGCATACAGTGAGAGGGGTGCCAGCATCGAATGGCTTGATACATATGCCGTATTTGAATCTCTTCAAGACGCGGAACTTGAGAGACTTTAGCATGAAATTTCATCAGGACGTGACGCAAACAAAACCCGTTGATGTATTCGGTACCTGTTCTAAAATTGTACAGTTTAATAGCCTATCCGCGGCTTGCCTTATTACACTCAGGGGTTTGCTCTAGCATTTGCATGCAAAATTGTCTTACAAGATTAGATATGAAGACTAGGGTCCTAATCCTGGCACAACCGGGTCCATGTTAGCTAATAGTAAAGAGGTGGTAGGGTCGAGCTCGTCCCACAAAGACTGATACCCCGAGAGCTGGTCGTCGTGACTCGAATGCAGGACGTCACCGAAGAGGTCGTAGAGTTGTGCATTGCCCGGCTGGGGGAGTCCATGATCAGTAAACTCTTCAAAGTGGGTAGCAGATGCAGGTTCCAAAGCCAACTGAGATGAGGCTACTCCCTGACCCATAGAAATAGGAATTGAGTTCTGATTGTGATTGACTCTTTCACTTCCTGGGTCAGACAGGAGGAGCCCCGGTACCTCGACGTCACATTCCTTCTCAGCTCGAGAAAATCCCAGCCGTCTCTTGACTTCTTTCAACATCTCATCATATGCCTGCTTTATCTCTTTGCGGCCCTCTACAGAGGCATTGCACTTGTGTGTCCCGAATATGCTAGCGTAACGGAATTGAGTAGAGCAGGATGGACACTGGCGGTTTACTTCGAAATCTGTTTTGCATGTTAGAAATCGGCAGTCAATCGAGGAGCAAGGCATCCTACGCGTAGCAACATGTCGTACGAATTCTTGCTGCCGCTTGAATCTTTTCCTCTTGCATTTACGTTTTGGGCATTTAAGAACCCTTGGGTCTTTATGAACCCTTAACCTGTATCCTGGAGCAGGTGCCGAAAACATTTGGTCACAAGGCTCGCCACTTATTCTCCCAACACCGGGGTCATCGCCGTCCGCAAGCGGGTATGAAGCGCCTGAAACTGGACGTCCGTGGGAGTCTTCCGTATCAGTCGATCCCTCTGTGTCTCCACTGGATATGCTGACGACTTTGTCGCTTCGTTTTAATCGTTCGGGGCAAGATACTGTGCCAGACGTTGTGTTGCTATTGGCACAGCAAACAGAATCAAGCCGATTAATCAGCAAAGTAATTTGGGACTGTGAATTAGTAAGCATCGTGGTGGTTTAGGTACAGCGAGTGCCATACCTGATGCAGCTTAATATGTGCCCATATATCCTGGAAAGAGAGGTTAATTTCACAGCATACATCGCATACTATGCTGCTCTCGTTCATTTTTAAAGTCCTTTAAACTGATGAGCTGCCGACTGTAGGTTTTTTTTTTCACAGGAAAAATAACTGCAGGAGACAGAGCTGCCTACCAACCTGGACACTCGGACATTGCTATAAGCGATTTTCTCGGTTATAACAATACAGCATGGTACAGCCCAACACCTTGTTTCCAGATGTTATGTTGTGTCATGCTTGTATTATCATTTGTCTTGGAGATGGCATAAAAATATCTAGATAACAGTACAGCATTAAAATTGACTACCTACGCACGCGGCCCCTGGTTCTGCTAACAGTATCTTAGCTTATCAGCTATTGCGAGACAGCTTACAAGAGTTTTTACTCAATGCATCAGTTGTTGACACTGTCTTTTAAGGGTTGTGCTGTCGCTAGTACCAGAGCCCGCGCGCGTAGGTAGTTGACTATCTTTTATAAAATTTCTATTCAAAGGAGAATCAGCTGCCTAGGGCGAACCCTTGTTTGTTGGCGAGATTCAGCCTTCAAAATTAGGCAAGCTTTCACGTCACCCCAGGGTGAACGGGGAACCAACACTTGGGCCACGCTAAAAGGTGTTCCTCGGTATTATTAGACGTAGTAACTGCAGCTCGTAATTGTTACGCGGAAAAGGCCCAACGACTTCGAAGCCCAAAGGGGCTTCACTGACAAAGGGCCTGTTGGTTACACAGATTAAACACACGACCGGGCAAGAACCCTCACTTGTCCCTCTCTTTCTCTTAGAAACCCAAGGATCTTTGACACCCTTTGAGATCATCTTTGAAACTGAGTCTTTTGCTCCAAGCCATCTATATTGAACCCCTGTCAAATTAATATAGCGGTTTCAGCCATCGCAGATAGGTTGGCGGATGCAAAGGCGTACAGAATACGAGGTTATTCTACACCGAATATAGATATTTATTTATCGCGGCATCAGATGGGACGAGAGTGTTGACAAAGAGCAGCATAGCCTGACATGTCACTCCAGCGAGCTTCGACCGCGAGGTAGACGGCTGCAACTGGAGGCTAATCAGCGTTCTAGACGAGCAATAGAAATTTATTAGGGATGCGGCTCACGAGCTACAAGACGACCAGCCAGCCCGAGCGAAAAAATTACAGAGGCTTCTCTAGCAGAGACGACAATGGTACACTCCATTTGGTCAACTTGATCCCCTCATTGTACATTAAATACGCCGCAACGACTACTATATCTATGATGGCAGGTGGAAACTAGGTTGTTGGGATCTCCCTCAGGAAGCTCCATTGCAAGTACACAGTATAACCCTTTGGGCTGCCTCTTCAGCCATCAAGTCCCCCCATCCCCAGACAACCTAACAGATGGTTCAACCACTTTACCGTTTCCAAAGTCCCATGGCCAACTTACGCAGAGACACCTCATCATTCCAGAGGTGGCCCACGGAAGAAATACATGTGTGAGCCCAGCCTCCTCTCCCTTTAGCCAGTACTCTCCGGCGCGGCAGCTGTATCCGAATCGTCTGGCTTGGGGGCGGCCTTGGCTGTGCACGTAAAGAGGACCTTGACTCGGGTTTTGGGGTTCGCTTTCGCGCATTTGCTAAGAGCGGCCATGCACGCCTGACGGCTAGGGAACATGTCGCATGCCTCCCGGTATTGGGTCTGGATTGTCTGCCGGGCCTGGTCAATTGGCTGGAACGCTTCATGTATGCATTCCGAGGCGAATTCATCCGTCGTGTTTTGGGAGTAATAACAACCCCCCACAATGTATTTGCAGCCTCCTTCGTCTGAACCCAAGTCGACACAAGTCTGCAGGTGCCTGGTCATGAATTCGTCTGATGATACAGGTGTTGAACGTCACAGCGGAA